CAAATATTTCAATTTAGTAGCAGCTCAAGACAATTTAGTTCCTACGAGCATTTCCAGTGGACTTTTTATCCCATCCAACTCTCTATCTTGGAAGTTAAAGCATGAAAAATATAATTCCAATGTAAATGATAACGTGTGATAATTTCTCGTTGGAATCAAAGAATGTTCTCTTGAAGTAAAAAATTATAATTAACAGATATATATTATCTGAAATGAGTCCGACCTACATTCAATAAAACTTATATAATTCCTCGTTATACGAGTGAAATCATGTTCAACAAAATATTCAAATTTTTGCCCAACAATTTTAATCTCTATTGTCTAACATACTTTTAATAGTTATATTTAATCAAAATTTGTTTGAAAAAACTAATAACTTTTAAATTAGGAATTGTATTAGTTTTAACAACTCCTAACTTGAAAAATTGTGCTAGTATTAAAATTACTTTATTGTGGGCAAGACAATAATTTTAAGTATTAACATATGGTGTCACTCTATTGGAATAATTAAAATTTTTATTGAACATGTTACTGTTTAATGTTATTATTTTTTTTTGTTTAGCATATTACTGTTTGATGTTACTATTTTTTTGTTATGCATATTACTGTTTAATGTTACTATATAGATGTACTAGTCATAACTCGTGCTTGAAAGTACAATGAAACATAAAATTCGAGCGTCCAAAAAAATCTATTCCACTATATTAAATAATAACTTTTTAAAATACGTAATTCGATAAAATTTTATTAATATATGTATACTATCGTATATAGATAATATTTGAAATAAAAATTATATTAAACTATAAATTAATCAAATACTAAAATAATTAAACATGTGATAGAAATGAGTGATGTGACATTTTTGGGGAGTATTTTATTAGTGATGGTGGCTGGACCTAGGTTAATTGTCTAGGCTGTTCTACATACTCGTTATCGAGATTAAGCTAATTCGTAGTTCGGGGTAAGATTTTAAAATTTATTTAAAGTTAATTTAGACTTGCGATTGCGTCTAGTTTAACTAAACTGCCTACGTTCCGAAAGGAAATCAAGTCGAACGTAAATCAGAATAAAAATTTGGAATTTGTTTGAAGTTAATTTGGACTTACGACTGCACATAATTTAACTAGACTGCAGACGTATCTGAAAGGGAATCAAGTCGAACGTAATTTTTATTTATTTTTTTTGAATGGAAAGTCGAATGTAGTATGGAATAATAATCTTGTGACAAACAAGCCAAGTACAAAGCAAAGCAAAGATACCAAAGCAAAAAATATTGTTTACAAACAAGCCAAGTACAAAGCAAAGCAAAGCAAAGATCCAAAGCAAAGAATCTTGTTTAAAAACAACCCATTACAAAGCAAATCAAGGATGCCAAAGCAAAAAATCTAAGAAGACGATGGTCAGAACACAACTAACATGACTTTTCGAAATCGACGGATGAACTGCTATGGATGACAACCGAAGATGACAAATTGGTATTTTTTTTTGACAAATTGAATTCCCAACATTTATTCAAGTTTATTATTTGAGACTTTACAAAAATTGGAGAATAGTTGTTTGGAAGAAAATTACTCCAGAAATTTTAAGAGTGAGTTTAAATTTTGTCTGATTTCCGGTTGAAGTGATGGTATCCGGGTAACCAATAGGTGGTTGACAAGTCAATAATTTATTAAGAAAGAGAAAGGTAATGAATATGACTGCTTGCAGAATTTTAAGCTAATTAAACTGTACTTGACATTAGTTATTTGATTATTTAATTAACTTAACTTGGAATTAGTTATCTGCCTTTTAATTTAACTTAACCTGACATTAATTTATAAAACAAACATTTGATCCTATTAAAATTCTAGCTGACTAATTTTTTTTTTTTACGTATTAAAATTTGAGCTTATTAAAAAAAATTATGTATTAAAATTGGAGTCAATTTGAGCTCAATCTGAGCTACTAGTGCCAATTAAAATTCAATTAGAGTTGTTTAAATTTTGTATTTTTTTCACTTATTAAAAATCATTCTAAGTTGATTAAAATTTATTTTTTACATTTTAAAATTTGAGTCAATTAAAATTTTAGTTTTTTATGTATAAAAAATTTGAGCTAATTAAAATTTAGTACGAGTTGATTAAAATTTAATTAGCTCAAATCGAATTTTAATCGATTCAAATTTTAATACGTAAAAAAAAAAAATTTTAATTGACTCGAACTTTAATATGTAAAAAAATTTAATGTAAAACCATAGTTAACGAGATCCAGTTTTCTGAGTTAAAGTGGGACATTTGTAACCATAGTTAACTTTTTTTCAATTACAAGTTGGGTGACGATTCATCTTTCTTAATGGATGGTTGACTTATCAATTATCTATTAGCTAACCAGATACCACCACTTCAACAGGGAAGCCAGACAAAATTTAAACAGTTGAAGAGTATATATCGCTTGATCAAAAAAAAAAAAANGTTTTTTATTGGATGTAACATCCATGATAAATCTAAATGTAAAAATTTAATGTGTAAGTTTTGCATATTAAAAAACAAAGAATAAAATTAAAAGAAAAAATATTAAATTAATATTAGCAACAAAAAAGGCTTCATTTAGAGTTGTCGTGACTTAAAGTATCCCCAATAGTAATCTTTATTTTAGAGGGTATCTTTAAAAATTAGAGAATGACACTGATAAAAATATAGAGAGTGAGATTTTGTAACTGATGGTGCTCAAATATCTTCTTACCCAACTATAGAACATGATAAGATGAGGCCTAGAGGGGCTTTGTGTGCGCTTATGACAGAGGATATGTTAAGAGTTGAAATTGAAGTAAAGACAAAAATATGAATGGTTCACCTTAGACAAAGAACTAAGGTTATATCAGCTGTAAATGAGACTCTTACTTCTTGATGACTATATTGCTTGGAAAAGAAAGTAGTGGTTAAGGAAGGTTTGGATGGGAGCCTTTTACAAAGTATTTCTTAGGTTGCCTTTGATTTTCTCTCTCTTTTCTATTCTTTTTTCTATATCTTACACAACGTTTTCTGCATCCACTTCGCCTGGAACAGAATGCATGAGGTATCTCTACTATCGGTGAATATTCGTTTGTTAGAGTTGTTAAGTATTGTCCACTTGTCCTCTATCCACTATCCACCTAGCGCGATTGGATTACTTGAGATCTACTTTGTGTTGAGCTCCAAACTCCCGAGCAGATGCTTATCACCGAACATGTTAGGGTTGGGCTAGTGTATGTCCCGAGCTGGACGATCCTGAGCTTCCATGGAGTTGGGTTCTGGCTTAAGCTAGACACAATTAACGGCATCCAAATGGGCTGCTTGGATTGTCTTAGATGAGTCCACTAGAGGTTTTGGAATCAAAAAAAAGGTCCAGAGTTAAATACATCATCATCAATATCCAACTCCAATATAATAATCTATTCTAGTTGAGAAATAGTCTTTATTACAAATAACATTTAATAAAAAATGTGTTTTTGTCATTTATTTTACTCAAAAGATTAGAAGATACTTCTATTAAAGGAGAATATATATATATAATATGTGTTGATATGTTGTGAGATTGTCTTCTTGGGACTTTACTTAGATGAATTTAATGGGAAACTACTAGAAAGAAAGAAATTGTGTTTCCACTAATAACTATAATTTTTGGTTCAATAAAAAATGCTATGATCAAACACACATGAGATACACAAGCATACAAGAGTTAGGTACTTTCTTTCATATTAAACTCATAAAATTTGATTCAGATATCATAGAGCTTAGATCAACACCATATCAATGTTATCATAACCGGCAAAGATCTTGCTTCCTCTACAAAGTTTATATATATTCAACAACAAAAATACCTACTACATAATTCATGTTGATTCAAGTCTTACAATTAAAAAAAAAAACAGATTTTATCATGGGTGCGTCTATAAATAGACCAAACAATAAGCGCTTCCTTAAAATAATTTTTTTTGGTTGTCAATGCCGACTAGAGACGCATCTAACTTTGAACTTTGAGTGTGTAAATCACAGAGGAATAAAGCAAAAAAATAGAACATCTTGTGTGTTCCAAGATTTACATTTGTCGGTTGTACATGCCTATAACCTAAACTCGTATTATAAAACCAACTAAATGTGCATGATCACCGCTAAGCCAACACATAACTACCCTCCCCCCAGCTAGCAACTAGCAAGATGAGAGTTCTAGTAGCAATATTATACATTGTTCTTCTCGCAATTTGTTAATTAAAGTTTGATTTGAATTGGGAAGTGGGACAAAATTTAAACAGTTTAAGAGTATATATCACACCCACCGCCACACACATTTTCTTTTCTCTTTTTTTTTT